GATCGAGCCAGACGGGGAAATTGTGGAGAAAAATCTGCAGAAATAGAAGAAGACAATGTAGTGAAGCGGCTGAGGTAGCAGTGTATTATATGGATAGAATGGAAACCAGACACGTCAGGATTCTGTAATACGTGATCGGAGGTAATGGTAATTTTTTTGATAAATGTAAAGCAATTTTAATTTAATTTTTCAATTATCAAAAGTCTTGTTGCTGTTGTTATACAGGGTGTCCCAAAAATGTATACACATTTTATTTAATTGTAAACTTGGTTTATTATAATTTTAGTATTGCAAAAATGTAAAAATATATACAAGTATCATTTGTTTGTTTTTTCACTGCATTTTCATTATTGCAACAGTGGCTGAAGTGAGAGAAGCCATTGAACATGAATGCAACCGAATACCAAGGAAATCGTTTCATGGTGTGTGCGATTCTCAGTGAACTGTACGATGTCTGGTGTGTCTGAATGTACTTCGAATTTGTACGATGCGATTGACCGTATTTTAGAGGAGACTTCATCGGAGTTGGCCTTTGCAGTCGCTTCTACAATCAGCTCCACGCCACCTCCAAGGTCATCCGTACGTCCGGGCAACACCTTCATCTTCTGTCGCCAGTGAGATGAGGCAAGCATGGATATGTGACCACTGCCTGCGATGCGCAGGCCTTCGCAGAATGAGCAGCAGAGAGCTGAACACCAGGCGAAATCACAGTGTAATGAGCAGCTCGTAGAGATAGATACCGAAGATCTCATATAGTGAACAGCCTTGCTCGTTACATACAAAATGGTCTTCTTCGTTAGCCTAACTACGAGTCCCAAAGTATGCCCAAAGTATGCTGGCACCTTCGGTGAAGTCTAGGTGCGAGGTAAGCGAGCTCTCGGGTTTGACGAGGAACGTGCATTATACGTACATTACAGCATAATCGTGCATATATCAGACTAAAATTGAAGTTCACATATATAAGAAAACACACACAGGAACCAAATGTTCAGCTAAATCCCTCACAGCTGCGTCAGCCAGCCGTTCAAGCTCGATCAGCCACGCGTGTGGGGACTTTAAGTTACTACCTCTGCTGTCCGTATGGTGAATAATAATGTAGTGTATAACGCCGACTGGCTGTTTGCAAGTATTCCGTGGTTATATCGCAGTAGCTGATAGAGTTTACATCAAATTTCGGACCGAACCTGAAAAAGGTCTCTTCCGAAGGATTTACTCCAAGTTCACGCGTTAACTTCATCGGAAATGAAACAAGACATTGTGTGTTGTCTATGGTGCAATAAGGCTTCCGTAGATAGGCTGGACCAACACGGGGCGCAGGCCAGGGCATCGTAGGGGTTATTCGAATTGCGTTCCCACAACAAATGCCAGAAGCGGGCGACGTTGGTAG